AGTATAGTAAAGTTAATACAAAAGTATAAAAAAATTTTAATTATCTAAAAACTATAATTTTTTTAACTATAAAAGCTTAAAAAATTTAATTACTAATAGTAACTATAAAATAAAGTCTAGAGTATATATATTAAAATTCTATTTGCACATGATTATATTATGGTAATTCCATCTAACCTGGGCTGTTCTCACTCTAATACTGTCTCTCTAGCGAAGAATTGAGTTAGATTACTTGTATCAGTTGGTAGCAGAACTGAAAGAATAATCTAAAACATAAGATTTTGGTTACTACCAATAATAAATCTTTTTAACAGATACATATCATTTATTACTATATACCTTAAATTTTAGCTGTGGATTATTATTAGTTTTATAATTTTTCAGATTAGCAAGTTTGGAATATTGACTGCTAATAATTACAAATAGGTCTCTATCAGCATTCTGATTGAGACTATTATTAACAAGCTGATTTGGACCAAATTCTATAAATATTAAATTAAATAAACTTTACTAAACCTAATTGTAATTAAATAGATTAAAAGCTTTAATTTCACATACCAGTAATCAATTGATAGACTGATATCCAAATCTATCTCGGTTTTAAATTATTAAACTTATAAGCCAGATAATACCCAATAATTGTTTTTGGTTTAGTTAGTGATAGATAACGTGAATCCTGACTTAATACCTCTTCTATCATGAAAAAGGTATATAATAAAAACATTGTGAACTTATAAAGTGAACGAATTTTCATATTTTTTTATAGCAGTATAAAAATTTCATGTATAGAGTTAGCATAAAAAATAAAATATGCATATACATGTATAGGATAAGATACAAGCATCTAAATCAATTGATCAGAAAAAAGTTTATTAAAAGTTACATTCATATCAAAGTATCGATTATTATTTTAAAAGCTTTGAACATTAAAAATAAAGTAGCTATCTTTTTAGACAAGTTAGAAATTTGTTGAAAATTAATTGTTTATTATATCTGATATGTAAAAGATATGCTTGAACGACCTTTATTAATGGTAAATTTTTAAAGAAAAAAGGTGATTTGTGTCTTGCTGATTTGTTTATCAAAATAGTAACTCACTTAGTTAATTTATTCAATTTCTGACTAATTAAAAATTTACTTCTGATCTATTAAGTGAGGTGCTTAAGAACCTTTCTGGTCGAAAGATAAGAATATATTAGTTTAAATTTCATACGTAGAACTTAGAAATAATAGAATAATATAATAACTGTAGAAATTTATTAAGTATTTTCTTATTTTATTTATATATGGACAGTAAAGAAGATTTAAAATAAAGAATAAATAATAGCAAGTTTTAATAGAATAATAGGTTGGGCCTGAGCAGGCCGGGTCTAATTTTAAAATCAAGTCTGACCCGGCCCACTACTGCAGGCTTTTTTTTTTTAAGCCGGCCTTGGGCCCAAAAATTTTCTCCAGGTTTGCCTTGAGCCCTGCCAGGCCTGGCCCATTTCCAACCCTACCTCTAATCAAAACATGCCATATCACGTAAATGATTAGATCAAATTTTATTTAACCTAATCACTCATATTAAATCATCACAAAGTTTAATACGGTTATACAAAAACATAAAAAAAATTATGCAAATCAATGATATTAATATATTGTGCAAATTAATATGTATAAAATTACAATATTAATACATATTATGGCTGATACTGATATTATTTTGGGGCCTATTTTAATACAAATTTTATAATTTTTTGGGGTGCATTTTTTTAATTTTTTTTAATAGTTGAACTAGAATTTAAGGTTAGAATCATTAATCAAAAAATATATATGGGTCTTAGTAGATGTAATAATTCAAATTAAGATTTCCAAAAATTAGTATCAGCCGTAACAATACATAATGATTATACTATATAGTATATATTAATATATATTAAATATCAGTATCTACAACTATAACCATTATTATAAATAATTTTATTAATATGATTTGATATACTATTAAATAAATTTATAAAAATTGATGAATCTAGATTTTTTTATTTTTTAAAAGTATTATTTTTAAGGTTTTGTAAGTTCTTAAAAGTGATTTTTATTGTTAAATATTATCTTTTAATATTTTTCATTAGTATTCAAAATAAGTCAGCTTATTATGGCTTGCTGCGGCTTAAATAGCTTATCATAACAAATTTGAATTTATCACATAAAATATGACAAGTTTGAATTTGTCACATAATACACTCTTTAAGCCGCAGCAAGCTATGATAAGCTGGTCTATTTTGAATACTATTTTTTATATACAGTTAGACCTCTCTATAGTCATCTCCTCTATAGTCACATTTGCTTATAGTTATATAAAATTTTAAACCAACTTATATAGCATTTATAAAATTTAATTTCTATATAAGCACAAACTCTTTATAAGCACCAAATTCTTAAAATTAAAGGTGTAATTATAGAGAGGTTTAACTGTATTCTTTGATAAAGTTCAAATTAAATAATTGTACTAGCCAGAAAAGATAGTTAATATTTTTATTATTTATTTATTTTTTTTATATTCGGCGGTCCTGCCTATTATTCTTTATTTGGAAATATCAAAACTTATATCAACAGGAAGATACAATTTTCTACACTATATTCTGTATGAGTAAAGATCAATTCGAGTTAAACTCAGAGAACAACCTACCTAGCAGCAATTGGCTTTATATTGGATCCTCAACTTCCTGAGAATATGAATACTCTGATTCTTAGCCCTAGTAGCTGTATCACTTCATCAAAAGAGCCAAATTTACAAAAGTATAAATACAAAAGAAAAAAATAAAACAGAGGTATAGAGAATACGATAAAAATACAAACAAGAAAAGAAAAGAAGAGGTAAGGAAGTGTCAAAAAAAAAACAAAAAGAGAAAATTTGTCTATTCTAATGATCACTATTATAAGCTTGTGAAAGACTTGTAAAAATTATATACTACTAAATAAA